AGTCCCCTATATAATCCCCTACATAACCCCGTTTAAGGAGTGTAGACTGTGGTTCATGTGGTCTCTGGCTCAAGTCCAGCTCTTCTGGCACCTGAGAGCATCTGAAGCTCGGTGCCATGGCGGTGGCCAAGGACATCCTGGGATCATGTGGGGGATTGTCAAAATTATGGTCCCTTTTTTGGGTAATATTAGGGTCATATTGGGGTTATATGGGGGATAATGGAAAAGAAAATGGAAACTACTATAATGGGGTTATATTGGGGGATTGTCAAAATTATGGTCCCTTTTTGGGTCCCCTAAATTAGGCCCCGTATTGGGACCCAAAAAGGGACCATAATTTTGACAATCCCCCATGCGGGTTAAAGACATCACCACTTTCCCGGGCTTCTCCCAAGTTGTGGTGATAAGAGCCCTTAAGAGAGTGGATTCCTGCGTGCAGATGTCGCTGGCATGAAGATCTTGTGGTGGGGGTGTCTAGGATAGCAGAAGGGACCGCAGAAGTTCTGATTTGCCAAATAATCGTTGTGAATCGTCGTGGCACATGAAAGCAGCCTAGATACCTATCCTGCCCTTGGAGCAGTGGCCCCACCCCACATTCAAGAACCAGACTTCATCCTTTTTGATGCTTCACTGTCATATCTCGCGCGTAGAAAAACAGGGAAGACTGGTGAATACGCGTAAGCACCAGACCCAAGTCCTTCAAGTCATATCTGCATCAGCTTGCGCCCCCAAAGCCGTACCTCCCAAACATGCTCTGCGTCCCCCTTAAGTAGATAGAATATGGGGTATATGGGTATCTTATTATGACATACCCAAAGTCATATTCTATCTGCTTAAGGGGGACTACAACAGTATTCTGAATCCTGGAGTAGTCAGGACCGAGGCATTTTCTTATTCCCTCAAGCGCATACTCTGCAATACCTAGCGGAGCTTGGACACCAAGTTCTGCGCCATAAAGCTCACAGCCTCAACCTCAAGACTCCTAACCCCTAAGTCCTGAACCCCAAGCCCCAAAATTATTCTAACTATTCTTTTCCATGATTCCTCTAGTACCCTATATAACTCCATATAACCCCATATAACATCATGACCCCATACTGTTGATGGATGAAATCTTGCAGCACCTAGGGTCACTAAACTACTGTAATTCCTAGGACTTAGGGACTTAAGGTGGCGCAAGATTTCCTCCATCAACAGTATGACCAAATTTGGCAGGCCAGAAAGAGTGGCAGGCTGGTGCGCAACCGGGCCTGGCTTGTTGCGGCAGCCGCCTGGGGCTCGGAGGGGCCCAGGGGCAGTTTGAAGGCTCAGAATTTTGAGACTTATGTGGGGATTATGCAGGGTTACATGCAGGGATAGTGTAGGGATTATATGGAGGTTGTATAGGGTTTGAAGGCTTGGAATTTTGAAGTTAGATGGTGTTGTATAGGGGAATGGAAAAGACAGTCCAAACTACTGTTTTGGGTTTCGGGCTTTAGGTTTTTGGGCTTCAGGTAAGGCCCCAAGGGTGCGCGGAGACTGCTGCAGCCGCGCTTTGACTGAACAGAATATGAATTGAACCCTGAGCTTGATCCCGTTTGCACAGAAAGATGGTGGGCCCCTATGATGAGTTATAGTCTAAACGCCTCGCATCCCCCATAGTAACCCTTGCATTACACCTCTACATGATCCCTTCTATAAGCCCCTGTAAGGACTTTGGACTATAGCTCATATGACGGCAGGTAGGGTGATCAGGACCACTACAGGTGCTAACATGCCACGTCCTAAGCCAAGCTAATCCAGAAGTAAGAAGCGTTAGCACAAGTCAAGCTACACCATTGGAACGGACTGTTGGCTGGCTTTCATCTTCCGCGACAGGTAGTAAGGATGGGGACGGTGGTTTCATTCCTAGCAAACTCCGCCCCAAACTCTCCAGAACCCCCAAAACGCCCAAAAAAAGCCACCTAAATCCTGTTTATCCCTACATAACCCCCTATATAAACCATCCAAAAAGCTCCCCCTAATTTTGGGACCCTAATCCCTAAACCGCTGAAAGCCAGCTCTGCGGCTGCCAAGGTTGCCGTGGTGTCCTTGTTGCCAGGGCCCCAGCAAGGTAAACTGGGCTGCTGCTCAGGGACTTAAATTAAGTTACCATCATGTATCTATCTATCTATCTATCTATACATATATGTATATATATATGTGTATTGATATATACAGATGTATACATATATATATAGTAGAAAGTAGGAGTTTCCCCAATACAGTAATTTCAATGTTCCTTAATAGCAACAGGAAAATCAAAGCTTCCAAAAAGTAGAGGTCTCGCCTTGGAACCCCAAAATGGGGATGATAATTTGGGGTTTATGGACCCTATAATAGGGATGATCGTTTTTTTTTTTGGGTCTATATTAGGATCCCCCTTTCCTTTTGGCTCCCTACGCCCTAAACCCTGACTCTGAGAATCTATATCCCTAAACCCTAAACCCCTAAACCCTCAACCCTATTAACCCTCAACCCCCCAAACCAGAAACCCAATAAACCCGAAACCCTAAATATTGATATCCTTGTGTCTTAGATTTGTACTTCCCTGCATCCGGATGGCTCCATCTACTGCAGTGCTTGCAAACTTATATGAGCTATAATCTAAACTCTTTCAAAGGGGGGATATATAGGGGACTACTTTTGGGGTTATAAAGGGGAATACTAGGAGTTTAGATTATAGCTCATATGTACAGAATCCGTTTTGGATTATAGTTTCTAGCGCTTAGGAGGGCAGCAGGTGAACTTGTCTCAGAGAGCCCCTTCCCTGAGCTGATTTTGAGGCTTTACTTTTGGGCCCCATTGTCAGATGATTATCGGACGCATGAGTTCACAGAGTTTTGTGGTTGTCGCCCTTCGTGCATGCAGTGTGCACTAGGGTTTTGTAAGGCTTCCATGAGGTTTGATCTTTACCATGGCTGTTGTCTTGCAGAGCGTTAAGGTGCCCAGAACTTGAAGAGGATCCTTGAAAGGGCCATCATAATGCCAGAAGCCGATTCTTGACTCCAGCCTGAGTGACCGAGGATGTACAGCAGAAGCTTGGGTTTCCTTCCAGCAAACACCAAGGCTGTGACTTTGGCTGTTCAATTGGCTTCTTGCTATGCTGGGTTTTAAGTTGGATTTAGTGCCTTGCATTTCGTTTAGAGTGTCAGTTACCTTTTGTAGCAGCTAGCAAGCTTGCCGTGTGTGTATGTGCAAACTTCCACTAGCTTAGTATGTGGCCCAGACAGAAGTAGCATGGGGCGTGTGCCCGGATGTCAGCATCTCAGGAAGGGGACGCTAGGCCGCCTTTTCATACTTCCGTGCAGCCGACGCTGCCTCGTCTGAAGAGTCTACTTTCCTTCATCCCCACACTGCAAGCTTAAGACGACTCTTCCTTGTTAGGCTCTTTACGTACATGTGGGACTACAGGGGCTCCTGGGAAGACTCATGGCAAGATTCCGTTGTTGCTTTCCTGTCTTGCATAGGGATTAAGTGAGGGTTTCAGATTCATGGCGTATGGATTACGGCTGAGTGCAAATTGATGCAACTGGGCATGGCGTGCCTGGCGCACTCGGTCATGGTCATGCATAGCAGCTAATGATACTACACTTCGTCGCACGAGGAATCAGCTGCATTCTTCTAATCCAAAATGTTTGCACAAAGTGCCAGCAATCAAAACCTCAGTGCGCATCGCTACCTGAGACTCACCTGCGCGTGTCTGTTCGACTGGGCTCCCCTTCGGCTCGAGCAAGGTCTCCCCTAGAATCCCCTATGCTGATCTTGCGAGGAACTCCTGTAATTTCACGACGAACCCACTCCCACCAAGCCTTACCAGTCACCAGAGAAATCCCTACACAAATTCCTGAAACTAGAACAAGAACCCTGTAGTTCTATCCATGATTCTCTTCAGCTTATCGTATGTCCTTTCCAAAAGATTACACTGATTACACTTTTTCTTTCTGCTGTGCGGCACGGAGAAAATGGCCCGACGCCCTGTGCTGCTTCTCGCGCTTGCGGGTCTGCTTTGGAACTGTCCGGGCCTTCGTTTGGGTGGCAGGGAATAGGGGAATAGAATCCCTATATAATCCCTATAACATAGCCTCCTTATTCCCTACTACTCCCCCCAGTTATTCTCGGCCTTGGGTTTCGTGTGCTGCTCCGGGAGTCGATGAGCCCTTTATGGTGACTCGTGTTCTGATAGGAACATACTCTAGGGACCGCCAGGGTGAGCCGATTACACCCATTGAGGGAGAGCTGCATACCCCGTAGTCTAAGATGCAACTCCCCAAGTCAAGGACTCACAGAAATTCTTTCTCCCTGGGGGCTTGCCCTGGGGAATTGACCACTCATCTCTTGCATCGGCATGCTTTGAGGATGGAATCTCAAATGCAGTCCCTGAGCTCCTACTTGCATTGGATGTTCAGATTGGGTAGTACAGCATCTATGCAAATATGATACCATGAAACCACCCAAGCGACCACATCCTTTTGCAGACAAGTCCGATGACAGCTGAATCACCTCAGAGTCCCTGAATATGTATTTAAAGCAAACTCCCATGTGCTGTCCAAGCGTTGCATGCAGCCTGGCTAAGGTTTGGCCTTTGCAGGGTTCCGCTGGCGACCGGCAATTCGACCAGTATTTAGGACAGCTTGTGAGAAGCCTCCTTTCTGTTGCTTAGCAGCAGGGAATTAGGGACAGGATCCTTGTAGAGGGCCTTGCATTCTACATCTGTTGCCTCGCTCCCGACCATGTCTTAGCTGTAGACAAGCTTTGCCTGTGCATGGGCTTCTATTGCAGTAGTCCATCGTGACAAGGCAAGCTGTTGTAAAGATTGTTTACATGGCGGGTTGTCAAAGGCTTTGTGGCTTCCTGGTACATTGCGACCCTTTCTATTTCGGGTACCTGTTTTTAACGACTCACCCACATGTCTTAGCTACATCAGGCTCGTGTTCCCCCGATGCTTTCGGTGAGCCTCTGCAGGAAGGCTGGTTCTGAAGGCGGCTCTGGACCATATCCGGAGCTATGTGTCTTCGACCTGGACGCGTGTCTGTGGGACAAGGAGATTAAGATCTCATTGGGTTTGATTATTTTGAGGCGTATCAATTAGATGTCACTGCTCCAAGGTCATGACCGTTCTGAGATTTTCAACATCTGCTGATCTTTTGCAACTCATGGGCGCTGGCCTCCCTTCTGCTATCAGGGTTGAAATCTGTATGAGAGCCTAAAGAACTACTTGGGTATGTGTCAGAAGCAGGGACGCCCCATATATATATATATGTTTTTATATACACACATACATATACATGCACATATATGAGATATCCCGAACACATCCTCTCGGAAGGCTCCCTTTAGAGGCATCCAAACTTGGACAAACACCCCTGAAACTTTTTTGCTATACTTCCCCAATTGTCTGTGACTAGCCCTTTATATGCAACATACCCATTCACCTCTACGCATGCCAGAGACGCCCTATCTCCTGCAGGAGATGTATGAGATGGAGGCCATACCAGACGACAGCGACGTCGTCACAGGGGACCTCCGGGGACGCGGCGAAGGTGTCACTGGCGCCAGGGCCTTTTCAGCCACATGCGGGTTTCCAAGATTTCGGGGTACCCTTGGGCTACCCAGCATCGTAAGGAATAGAGATATAGTAGTTTCCATTTTCTTTTCCATTATCCGTATATAACCCCAATATACTACCCTATTATAGTAGTTTCCATTTTATTTTCCATTATCCCTATATAACCCCAATATAACCCCAGTATTCTGGGATGTCAGGGGAGCCTTGTGCCTGGACATACCCATGTCAATGTGCCTTTTTTTTTTCGCTCAAAAATCCTGGATGTCCTGTGTGTAGGGGGCCGATAATAAGGATGATCGTGTCTTGAATGCACTTTTTGGTGGCAGTGCTGCTGCATGTTTGCGGTTTTTGTAGAACTTCAATTCAAATGATGATGATGTTATAGAAGGTTTTTGCAGAGACCTGAAAGCACTTTCTCAAAGAGAGGTCACCCACGCAGTTGTATTCGCTATCGCTGGATGATGCTGGCTGAAAGCTCAGGTCATGAGCGGATCGGACAAGATTTCGTTGCACAAAGGACCCTCATGACGTATTTGCATTCTGGTTGCTCGTTGACCCTCGTACATGCTGGGCTATTGTTGTAGTGTGGGGTTTTGACTACGTGTTGCTGACGGCTCGAAGGAGCACTGAAAGCCTTGCAAAATCATGCTGATGGCAACTTGTCTGCATGACATGGAGGGTTTTCGACTCCAGGATATAGTCTGGGAAGGCCCATGGATTGTTGCAAAACAATTACGCTTGACAGTAGCACCCCTAAGGTGGACTGCCGTCGTTTCCACAATCTCCATGCAACGTATCATCCACGTCCCTCATCTTGGTCTATCTTAAAATAACTTCATCTTGATCCCGGAAGGTAGGTTGCTCATCATGTGGCAATCCAGAAGGGAGGATCGGGGTTTCAAAATGGAGAAGACAGCATTCGGGAGAAGACAACATTCTCTTCAAGATCCTATTCGGCTGCATCAGGAGCTGCATCAGAAAAGCAGTAGTCGGCTTGGTGTCAGCCGGTGTCAGCCTTCGCTTGGAGCCCTCAAATCAGCACTTTTCGAAAAGACCATTGCAAGCTTTGACGCTTCTGCAGCCCCCCTCCTCTACCAGCAAACTCACAGTGCAAGGATCGGGAGGAACAGCATATTATGTGAACATCCAGCAGCGATGGAGCTTTTCACCTGTTCTACTGAACAGAGTGAACCCTGTAAGCCACAGAGGCAGCTAGGTCCTATAATTCATTACCTCATCATGGTACTTCTCTCTACCACTCTTGTATATTCTTGTTCTTGCTTTCATGCAAGTTGCCCTGAATCCCAGTGGCTGAGGCAAGTATCCCAACATGAAAATCGCTGTTGCCAGCAGTGCCGATACTCCCTTCGCCGAGAAAGTTGGGCGGAAGGCCAGCTCCAACAGACTGGTTTTGGCAATTTAAGGGTTTTGAGGTTTTGGGGTTTAGTGCTTTAGGTTTTAGGATTTTGTGGTTTTAAGGTTTTAGGGTTGAGGGGTTTAGGGGTTTTACGGTTTTAGGGTTCAGGGGTTTGGGGGTTTTACGGTTTAGGGTTTTACGGTTAGTGTTTTAGGGTTTTTAGGGTTTAGGTTTTAGCGTTTGGAGCACTTAAGGATGCAAGCCGCGTTAAGGAAAGGCTTGCAGCTTGTCTTCCAGTCTCTAGTGAGGCCTTTCCGTTTTTTCTTCTGCACTTTGTTTAGGTCAGACGTCAGGATCCTAACCCAAACCCATGATTGATAAACCCACTCCATTTAATAGGGAGTATAATAGGGAATATACGGATAATGGAAAAAGAAAATGGAAGCTACTATAGTATACGGGGGTATTTAATAGGGATTGTGATAGGGATCCAGCACACTCCTGCGATAACATTGGAGATTTCAGTAGTTCAGGTTTAGGGAGTTGTGTTGCCACTGGGTAACAAAAATGGGGCCACCGTTCAAGGACTTGCTCTGGCGCATTTTGGGGGTTTCGGAACCAGAGCACAACAGGATCACAAGAATTAAAAGCCAAGCACCAAGCTTCAAACCTCGTTATACCCCTATATAATCCCTATATAACGCCCATAATCCCTATAGTTTCCATCTTATTTTCCATTTTCCTTTTTCAATATAACCTCCATATAACCCCAATATAAGGCCAAACTTTTTCAGTCCCCGAGGCGCTTTCGCTTCTGGAGGCGAAGCTGAGCGGCTGAACTGTTGTGCTTCTGGAGGGTTAGGCGACCATATGGGGGTCTCCCAACATTAAGGTTGGGGTTATATTGGGGTAATGGAAAATCACATGGAAACTACTTTTCAGGGTTTAGGGATTAGAGTTTAGGGTGTAGGCGACGGTTTAAGAGTTTTGGGTCCGGTGGGTTGCGAAGAGTTCTTAAGATCGTGACAAGAGTGTGTATAGATGATTCTTGATTCTCCATTATTACATGATTGGGGAATGTATAGGAACTACCCTGAGCCCTGAGCCCCAAGTATCGTACATGTTGTAGGGCAAGAGGCTGACGGAATCTTATGACGGAAGATGAAGCAGGGTAAGGTTTGAAGGCGTAAGTTCAGGAGTGGGCCAAGGGCCGGTTCACAGAGCAGGTGTGCAGGGTCCATGGCCTGCGTGAGTTCACTAGAATGAGTTAAGGTCAAGGGTATGGGATGACAGATTCACAGGTTTGATTCACGACTTGGCAGGGATGGAACTTGCGAAGCCTATTTGCTTTGGCAGCGATTCCTCTTGTTTTTCTGGTGGGAGCGCTTGATCTTGGTTTCCTAGCACTTGGAAAATTCTCGAACAACTCATTTGACAGCATTCAGTCCAACCTTTTATGGCGTTTTAATCCCAGGACCTTTCGGGTAAGTTTTATTGTGGTAGTACCCTGCGCCTCTAAACCGTTTCATTCGCGCACACTACATGGTGTGTTTGTAGAGCCGCTCCGAGAGCTGAAGCCTCAATCAGATTCTATGATCCCCCCAACTATCCACAAGGTGCCTAAGTACCTCCTTTGTTTTGAGCAGCCCTAAACCCTACCTAAGCCCTTAAACAGTCATTTATACCCTATCACCTCCATTAGAAGGCCATATCATGAGAAAGCCCAACTAATTGAGATCTCCACCTGCTCTGTAGGTGATTCCTGGCCTGACAGTCTGGCAGCTCCTCCTAAAGGACTGAGTTTCGGGGTCTAAGATATATGTTATATTTCTACATAGAGACACCTATCTCTCCATATATATCTATATGTGCATGTCTAGTGATATATGCATATGCATATATGGCTATTTAGATACGCATGCATTACATATAAAGATATACATATCTATATATATATATATGCGCATGCACAGAGAGAGAGAGAGAGAGAGATAGATAGATAGATAGATAGATAGTTAGGAAGATAGATAGATAGCAATATGGGCAGGTAGTTAGATAGACAGGTGGATGGATATCTGGATCGATACTGATTCTGAGAGGACTGGGATGGGAAAGACGTGAACCAGATCGGCTCCTCAACTTGACCAGCCAGTAGCCTTAGTTACGGCAGTAGAAACAGTACCACTGTTTGTGCTTGGCCCAAAGGATGCAAGTGCGAATCAGAATGGTGATTGGTTTTGTGGCAGCTGTCCGGACAACGTATGGGTTCCCACGGCGAGTGCGGTTTCCACGGGTGGATTGGATCCAGCTGCTCCTAGAAACACAAAGGCAGCACTGGTTGAGTTTAGGGAGTGTAATTTTGCAAATCATCCATCCCTTTCTGGTCTTTCTCAATTTAGGAGCTCCTTCATACATACCCCAAATTTTTTGTCTTCTTTTCGGGGCACTGGGATTGGCGTCATGGCAGCTTGTCCGAGGCCGCCAGCCACCCTTGTCCTCCAACAAGGCCCAGACCCACTTCCCTCGACTGAAGGCTGGGTTAGGGCTATCTAGGGACCTGTTTAGATAAGGGTTTTGGGGTATAATTGTGATATAGTTATGTAGGGAGCACAATAGAAGAATGTTGGTAATTTTTTTTGTGAGGTTTTCCCCTATTCCCTATACCCTAAACGGAATGTTGGTTTTTTCGTGAGGTCTTCAGGGTTTAAGTTTTAGCCTCTTAGAGGTGACGACCTCGCAGGGTTGTCAAGGCGAGGCTGGGTGGGTTGGCGTGTTTTCAGTCAGGTCAATCCCCCCTACAGTAATAGGGTTTGGGGTTTAAAGCTCAGGGAGTTAATAGGTCCTTAATATACCTACAGTGGTCCCTTGTGGTACCCGGTACTGGGTGGGGGATTGACCCAAGTTTGTTGTAGAAAGCAGAAGGATATAGTTTGGTGTTCCTGCTGAGGGGCACTGGCTTTTTAGTGGAATGTACTACGCATAAGGTTTTGAAGACAGGCATATGCCTTTGAGGTCATCCACGACCAGGTTTGCGCACATTGGAATCAAAAAATGCGATGTTGCAAGGTTACCGCCTGACCTAGGTTTGCCACAATGGGATCCAACAAGGCATTTCCATTCTACTCCGTGACATTCACGTTGCCAATGCGGAGGCGTAATTACGGGATCGACGGCTCTCAGTGTAAGAGCTCTGCAAGTAAGACATTAGCCAAGCACCAGAAAAGCCCGATTTGCCTCTTATGAAGGCAGACACCCCCTGGTCACCCTCGCCTCAGGAAGCTACGAGCGTGCCTTACGACAGAATGCCTCCTGGCCAGCAAAGTCGTTCCAAGCCATTCCTTTCACAACCCTAGGTTGTATTGGGGTTGTATGGGGATAATGGAAAATGGAAACTACTATAATGGATTATTTGGGGTGTATGTGTGAGGGTTCTCATATAGTTGAATCAGACCCGTCGCTGAGGCTTTTCTTCGATGACTGCCTTTGGCACCTCGCATGTTTATCTTGGCGTTGCAGTCTGCCACCAAACCTGGTTCGACGGCCACTGCTACTTTCAGGGCTACCACTACCGCCATGATCATTCTGCAACTGCTGCACTGCTGTCGCTGTTGCATGCAGTGCCAGGGGGGACCATTGCGGCATGGTTGCGCAGTCCTGCCGGGAGGCAAATGGCAAAGGCGTGGTGACTGTCAGGACATCAGGGTTGAGATGTATAGTTGTACCTCCGACCCCTGATTGATTCGGCCTATTATGTCTTCCGCGAAGCGCTCAGTCTTTTTCGAACTGTGCCCAGATATGATCAAGGTCTGTTCTGGTTGTGGCCGCTTTGGTCTTGCAATCGGCAGTCCATATTCCTGAATACAAATTACCGTATCGTGTGGAGTGGCCGAGAAATTTCGGATTTTGCATCATCAGCTTGATGAGGGTTCAGGCTCAATAGATTCTTGAAATTCCAAAGCTCTACACGCCTCTGCACTCAACCAAACCCAAACAAGAAAACCTTTAACCCTAAACCTTAGACCCCGACTCGGCTTCCAAACCGCGAGCCCACCAGTTCTGGAAAGGACTCCCAGTGGGCTGGGCGAGCGTGAGTGGGATCGCGGCCTGAAGATGTACGCAAATGCCCAGAGGTGACATGCGCGGCCATTTGTAGCTACTAGCTCTTTGTGGGAGCAAAGGGATGGGTTCTTACTATGCCTTGAAGCCTCCCGGTAGTCTCTGTGCATTGGTCGTTTGGGCATCGGCCTCCTCAAAATCACCACGTACCTAGCGTGTCTGCAGCCCCCGCATCACCATCAAATACAAACAAAGTGTCTAGGGATGTCGCGCAAGAGCTGTCCAAGATTTGCTGGTTGTCCAGGGCGATTGCGCAGCGTCTTTTCTGATGCACAATTTTTTGAATGAATTTCTGCAGAGATTTCTATGCTGTGCCCGTGCGTCGGATGCGTCAGGGCAAGCGTGCCCTTGATGAGATGGTGGGAGGGGGGTTGTCAAAATACATGGTCTCATGTTGGGTACCCTGAACATTAGGGCCGTACTATCCTAAACTCTAAACCCTAAACCCTAAACCCTAAGTTCTAGGGCCCCTTAACAAGGGACCATCACTTTGACAACCTTCCATGTGCTGCTAATGACCTCTCGGCCTCCGGAAGCCAGCAGAGCTGGCCCAGGCCCTTCCATGGTAGGGGGGCATCCAACAAGTTAGGGTTTAGGGTTTAGGGTTTAGGGTTAACCAAAGTAGATATAGGGTATATTGGGGATATATTGGGATGATGGAAAAGAAAATGGAAGCTACTATTTAGGGTTTAGCCTTAAGTAGTTATTGGGTTTATGGGGGTTCCAAAAAGTCAGGGGCTCCCTGTGTTACTCGTGGTTAGTAGGGAATAAGGTCATCTAGTATACAGGGACTACGTATATCGGAATTTTATTCCCTCATTTCCTACTAACACCCAGTAGGCTTTGCGGGGTTCCTATGAAAACAATGTGTAGTACGTCCGGGTACATAGGGGAGACCCTAGTTATGGAGCCTCTGATTTCTTCACACTCTTTGCCAGTGGGAGGCCCTTTGCCTGTGCCTGCGCTGAGAAAAGTTGCTTGCTGGCAGCCTTGCGTTTCTAGTAAAAGGGTTCTTGGAGCCTCATTTGAAGGGGTCCTGTACCTGTGTTGCTCCTTCTTCAGGCTACTTTTTTAGGGTTTAGGGTTTAGGGTTTAGGTTTAGGATTTAGGGTTTAGGATTTAGGGTTTAGGGTTTAGGATTTAGGGTTTAGGGTTTAGGGTTTTTTCGGTGACATCCCTGGATTGCAAGCTGAGCTTTGACAAGCTTGAGCTAGCTTGCAGATTCAATCCACTGGATTCTGGTTTGGAACATTGAAACACAAACCATCTGGTTCTTAGTAGGGAATAAGGGGGTTATAATCACTATGGAACCCCTGCATCATAAAATTGCTTTATTCCCGACTACCCCTATCATACTGATTACAAGGTAGGAGTGTCCATTCTCTTTTCCATTATCCATATACAACCCTGGCCTGAATTCGTAGTATACCTTACAAGGTCCCCCCCAAAACGTTATATAGTTCCCTATAGGTCTCCCCAACCTAAATTTAGTCCGTAGCTCATATAACTCCAGTACTGTCCATTACTGCATGAGCCCTAAACCCTACACAGGAAAATGAATCCGTCTTCAAGATGGCGACCCCAAGCTCTTCCTACTCCAAACCCTAAACCCACCCTGTATAGGGGGTATATTGGGATTATATAGGGATAATGGAAAAGGAAATGGAAGCTACTATTTAGGATTTAGGGTGTGGGGTTTAGGGTTGTTTTCAAATTTATGGGCCCCTTCTAGTGATAGATCATATTCCGGCACCTGAAATTTAGGGGTACCAACATGGGATCCTAATTGTGGAGACTACCCAAATGAGTTGCTAACAAAAAGAGGGTCCAAGCAAACAATAACATGGTGGACCTAGGGTCCTGGATAGGAGTGCGCCACAATTCTTGACCTATTCCCTTGCAGGATCCTCCCTCCTTTCAAAGAGTTACCTTCGCTTGGGGCTAGACTTGTGATGCTGAGTGCCCTTTGCAGGCAGAGCGGTCCGTGCAGGGCGTGCTGCCAGGCTGGACCGGTTGGCGGCACCAGCAGCATCAGGGAGTCATGCCAACATTGCAACCCTATTTGTAGGCCTAGCTACAGGCGGAGAAGGATGGTTCAGCATGGTAGGGTTACTCCACGCAGGTCATCCTTTGCACGGATCCCAAGCGCTAGGCTGTGCAAGCCATGTCCCCACCCGAAACTTCAAGCCCGAAACTCTCTAAACCAAATGCCTTGAACTTGATTAGCCACAAGCGGTTCTATACTTTTTGTTGTTACTGTGGGCAGTCACCAGAATTCAAAGCTCACCCCTCATTTCGTGTCGCAAAATTCTGGCTCTCCTTCTTGTTGCGTCCTTGCAGTTGGAGCATTTTTTGGGGTGTGTTGGAGACCTCATTGTGGTTGAATACCAATCTAGGGAGAGCCCTAACGCCAGGGGCTGCTGCATGGTGGCTGATGGCACAGGCCATTTGCGACCCCTGCAGTTCTTTATGTCGATCTGATATGCAGCCAAGCATGATTCCTGCACGACCCCGTTTATAGTGACCAACAGTATGCTGTAGCAATCCCGTATGATCCCGAGTATCATGCAAGAACAAGATTCAAGTCGATGTAAGCCCAATGTTCTAACGATCGGACTTGTATGATTCTACAGGAAGTCGGCGGCATTTTTGGAAGAGATACATAGAGATCTAATCAGAATTGAGTTGGGGCTTGCAGGGTTTGAGCCTGTCTCAGGTTTTCTGACACCTTTCTTGGTGGTTCTTACAGTTTGTATTTCGGAGTATGCAGGGGATGCTATATGTTAAGAGACGGCAGCTGTCCCCATAGGAATAATGCATGCTGGGCATGTTGCTTCTGCTTTGCCAGGGACCATACCGCAATGACATTCCTTGTGTTGATGGACGTTTTATGGATTATCACAGCCCAGCTCGCTGAACAGTGTACACGAACTTCCATATCCCCTCAAAACTTTGTCCAAAGCACTGCATGACGCAGAAGGATGTCAGGAGATCCCCTCAAGGTCGAAACGGGTAATCCTCAAATGCTAGCAGATATAAACCCTGGAGCCCCTCAAAGCCTACACCCTAATAAGCTGCTTTTGGAGCCCCAAGCGCCTCAACTCAACTCTAAACCCTAAATCCTAATCTGAACTTGGTCGAGGAAGCCGGTGCCGCAGTGGGCAATCGGCGCCAGTACTTGCCTTCTTTGGATGACCCTGAGCCAACGCCTCCACCCGCCGAGGATGTCAGCAGGGGCCCTTGCCTTGCCTTTGGTTAGCTAGGAATGAAGGAATGTGGAAACGACTAGAACGGGTTGTATAGGGACTACAAAAGGATCCATTCCTTCACTCCTAGCTAACCAAAGGTAGGTCGCTGAACCTTTCCATGCTAGGCCTGCCTAGGAGATCTGAGAGTTGTTACGTTGGTCATTCTTCATCACCGTGTATCTGAGTAGGCTCAGGATGAGCATCCCTTTTCCAGCCTGTCTTGTGTTCCATATGGGAGCACAAGCTTGGATCAAGTGGTATCGTCGCCAGGATATCTTTGCTTGTCCTGTTTGATTTTGTGGTTGTAGAATATACAGTCTCGCAGCTGAAATATGAAGGGTTTTGGGCCAGCAGTGCTAAGATAACTCGCAGTTTTATCTGCATCATGGTGATTTTTCTTGGGCATAGGCTTTTCATGATGTTTGCTATCGCACGTTCGCTTGATAGCAGTATGGCTTTGCATGCTGCCGTCTATCTTGCGCAGCACTCCATAATCCCCTATATAAACACAGTTTCCATTTCATTTTCCATTTTCTTTTCCATTTGATTCTCCATTATTGGGGTACAAACCCTAAATACCCCATGGGGGCCATGCAGTTTACGCAATGAGGCCCGGAACAAGTTATTGCGACGATCGGCATGGCCGCTGCCCAAGAATTTCCTTCATGTAAGCCTTTGCCTGAACGTCTTCCGGGACTGCCGGGACTACTGTGAGTTTTTTTTGGTTTGTTTTACATCAGTGCAGGCTCGTTGTTGGGAAAACACGTAAGATCCCGATGGGGTCCTCAAAATTGATCCCCTGACTTCTGCCTGCATGGTTCGACATGTTTTCACGTGCCCCATCAAAAACTTTGTTTTACTTGCGAGTGCAAGCCGAGATACCCAACGTGCTGGTGTTCTTCGTCGTAGCTGCGTTGTCCTCAGCCTGGGCTGGAGCACTATGTGATGGCTGAGCATAAGGACAGTGAGGTGCCCTGTAACTGTATGAGCTGCTAATCCACACTTGCAGATTCATCCGCTTTCTCCCGACTCTACCACTAGATGAGATTTGTGACTGCTGCCCTTCAGGGGGCGGTCCGGGAGTTCATCGCATCTGGTGGAGGTGAGGTTGAATGGAGCTGAAGTCAAGGATGGCTGCAGAGGCATTGCAGAGATTACGTCATGCACTTGCTTGTTTGGCAGGCTTCTTTCGCAACGAGGACACCTAAGGAGAATGCAACGTCTCAGTCTCCGAATCGAAGCCTCTTGTTGGGCGAGATTCAGGCTGTTCTCAGGAGGTTTCACAGACCAAAGCCAAACAACCACTTTTCCCGCAGACGCAGCACCAGCTCAGCGACTGCGTGTGCAAATCGTCAGCTTGACGCTGCCATTCATATAGACTTTGTTGCCTACACCCAGAGGCTCGCCACGCGAACAAAAAAGGTTATGACAGTGCTTGTTGTGAGTCTGCGGCGGCTGGGTAGGTGCCTGTGTCAGCCGGTGGGAAGGGGATGATCACCAGGTATGCCGGGCAAACTTTTCAATCAAGCCGCCTGACAAAATCTGGTGCGAAACTCAGCACTTGCGGTTGCCTTTTCTGCTGGACATCCCAGAATTGGTGGAGCAGACGTCCAGACCTCGTACGGGTCAATTTAAGCTTCCTTTTATGGGCGACTGCCCAGGCGCAACATACGGAGCAGAAGCACAAGCGAGGACACGGCCGCCGCTTTGTTTGACAACGCCCGGAGCTTTGATGAGTGTTTAGACCGTCCCACGGTCTGCCGCTTTGAG